CGACAACGCAGCCCGAGACCCGCCTTTCCCATCACGACATACAGGTCCTTGGTGGAACCAATATCCGCAACGACGGGTCTAAGACCGGTTCCTCCTTCATAAGGCCCGCATCCCCGATGAACAGGTCAATGGCATACAGATCCTTTACTGAACTAAAGATTGCAACAACGCTGTCCAAGACCGGTCCCTCCTTCGAGAGGCGCACCCATCATGGCGGACAGGTCCTTGGTGTACAGGTCCATGGCTTCGCCGGCGCACAGGTCACTCTTTCGCGTAGTACCAGCCCAAGGCGATGCGGCCTTTGCGACACCACTTTCCACGGCCCCGTGAGGCGGCGCCTTTGCCTTGGCAGACCGCCAAATACTTGGCGTCTAGCGAAGATGAGGCGCCAACCACCCTGGCCATGCCAATATGAGCGTGTGTCAGTTTATTTTACACTGATGCCGGTCTCCCCAAACCATTACTCCCGCAAGGCGTAGCTCCTTGAACACCCCGATGAAGCAACAGGTCATCAAGATGTCTGAGCCGACCGCGACCCATGCTACCCCAACACCAACTACTCCAACGTCGCAAAACCGACGAGGCACGACGGCGAGGGCGGGCGTGGCCACCACAAAGGCCACACTACTTGCGGCGCGTGTACCGGCGAGGACACGGGCTCTGCCGCCGCCCACACACACCACCATCATCATACATGGAGAACACGAAGCGAAGACGACGAAGACGACCATGCAGCTTAATCGGAGGTATCTCGCGGAGCAACCCGCGGGAGTAATTAACCGGGAGCCTTCCGAGGCCCCGGGAACCAGGAGACCGCGATCGCCATAGTCAGGCTGGCCGCCCTAGTAGGCCACGGAGCGCACTTTTTGTTTACGGGATCTTGTACTTTTGTTTCTCCAATGAGATTAATGAAATACTCGTTTCCCGCATCCTTTTCTTTGTGTACTACGGTACACTGGCACGCCCGCAAATTTTCTTTTCTTCTTTTCCCCGGCGCAAGAGAGAAATATGCTCCCCTTCCCTTCTCGCGGAGTCCCTAGATGATTTTTCTCGTGTCAAACAGCAAGCCAGTCCTCGTTGCCTTCGCCGATTGGTATTTGCAGAATTTCCTCTCCGTCTTCCTCATTAAATGTTTCTTTTATTAGGTCCTCATCCCAGTCACCGTCTACTGGGTTAATTAGGTCCGAGACTTTGTGGAGGATAGCATTCCTTCTTTGGGGAATAGCTAGTTTTCTACTCTGGCCTCGTGGGATCCATGGGTTGTTCCATATGTTCACCTTCTCACCATTGCCTATTCTCCGGATTACTCCTTCTCTTAGCAGTTCAACTCCTTTAAGGACGCTTCTTTATGAATAAGACATGCCATCCTTTGGCACTGCTCTAATAACTGGCCTGATGGGTAGTATTTTTTTTAGGGTTTGATGGGTAGTATTTAGCAGATAGAACTCTAGCGCAAAGAGAGTTGGGCGCATTTGCTAACCTCCATGCTTGCCTTGCCAACATGGCTTTATTAAACACATGGAGATATCTGAAACCTAGCCCTCCATCCTTCTTTGGTAGCATCATATGTTCCCGACTAACCCAATGGATTTTATGTTCTTTGTCCATATTGCTCCATCAGTATCTGCAGATCATTTCACTAATTTGGTTACATAAAGTCTTGGTCAGATCAAAACATGCCATTGCAAAGACCGGAACTGTTTGGGCTACGGCCTTTATTAGAATCTTTTTACCTGCCGTTGAGAGCATTTTTCTTCCCATCCCTAAATTTTCCTCCAAATTTTGTCTTTGAGGTAGGCAAATGCTTTTTCTTTTGATCTTCCATGTACACTAGCAGCCCTAAATACTTCTCTGTTCTTCCCTCCTTTGTACTCCCTCCGTTCCAAAATAGGTGACTCAACTTTATACTAACTTTAGTATAAAGTTGAGTCATCTATTTCAGAACGGAGGGAGTAATATGCAATGCTGACATGATCATATTCTTCTGCTGATGCTAGGTATTCTTGCTAAACATTATGGTAGATTTCTCTGTATTGATTACTTGACCCAGGCAACTAGCATATGACCCTAGGATATGACTTATCTCTATTGCAGTCCTATTTTCAACTTTGAAGAGCAGTTTCTTGAAGGTACCCAAAACTGGTTGGAAGAGACTATATGAGCTGATCCGTTTAAACAATCTGCACAATGCGTATGGTACTGTTTGTACTCTATATAAGAGCAACGACTATTTCTCGCCTTAAGGGAGTCGAGAGGAAATCTCGCGTTGAGTTTTTTCGGTCGTGGTTGTTACGGGCCGGCCCATGAACTCATTTTTTGAGGCGCTTGGGATGAATCGATCCTAGGACCTGCTTGTTCCTTCGAGGCACTGCTAGCCACTACGCCAACATCTTCTTCGTGAACAATATGTGGTCGTGAACTACTAGAAGAAGGAAAGCAAGCCGGTTTTTCACGCCGGTCCATTTTCTTTTTCCTGTTTTTACTGGGGTTTTTCTTTCTTTTCTTTCTTCATTTTTATTTGGTTTTCTCTGGGTTTTTTCTTTCCCCATTTATTTTTTTGCTTTTCTTATTTATTTTCTCCGATTTTTTGTTATTATTTTTGTTTCGTCCATTTTTTTTATCTTTTTCCTTTTCTTACATATTATCCTTGTTTCATTCTTCGGTTTTTTGTTACTTTCTTGGTTTTCAATGCTTTTTTGTATTATTTTATTTTGTTTCTTTTCTTTTTTCTTCTCCGGTTTTTTGTTTTGTTTTCATTCTTTCTGCATTTTTCTCTTCTGTTATATTTCTTATTTTCCTTTTTCTTGGGTTTATGTTAGTTTCGTTTGTGGCTTTTTATTTGTTTGTTTTCTTCCCTTCTTTTGTTTTCATTCTATACTTTTTGTATATGTCAACAAGATTTTTCTAATGCATGTTTAACATCTCTATTACAAATTTAACATTTCTTAATACATGGTCAACATATTTTCTATAGACTTTTAAAAAAAATCAAATGCTTGATTAACATTTTTCAGATACAAGATTAACATGTTTGAATACATGGTCAGCATTTTCCCTACACACACTTTTTAAACCTTTCAAATGCTTGACTAACATTTTTTCAACAGTAGATTAACATTTTCTATCACATGGCCAAGATTTTTTCTATGCACATTTAACATTCTTTCAAATGCTTGATTAACATTTTCTAAATGCAATACTAACATTCTTTTAACACATGGTCAACATTTTTTTCTATACACACTCAACATTTTCCAAATGCTTGATTAACATAATTGTTCAACATTTTTAAAATGCTAGATTAACATTTTTTGTATACATAATCAACAATTTTATTCATTTTTTAATACATGATCAACATTTTTCTGGTGGTGACCCCGTGGAGACAATGGCACATTTCGCTTCAAACAGCTGCCAGAATGGGCTGGGCCAGCACGGACCACAAACCTTCGGCGTTCTTTTCACATTTTTTATTTCGTTTCTTGCTTTATTTTTTATTTTGCTTATATTTCAAAATATTCTATATAGAAATCACTTTATATATATATATATATATATATATATATATATATATATATATATTAGAAATCACTTTACACATAAATTTGAAAAATGTTAATCGCACATTTGCCAAATGTTTCTAATGTAACGAAATTGTACAGTGTGTATAGGAGAAGGTAGACATATGTAGCAAAATTATTAATTATGTCTTTGAAATATGTTAAACATGTATATACAAAATGTTTCTGATGTATACAAAAATGTATAATGTGATGGAAAATTTGACATAAATAATTATGTGTTTTAAATTTGTTAATTATGTATGTAAAAAATGTTCATAATGTATACAAAAAATGTATAATGTGTATGAAAAAGTAGAAATAAAAATATAGGTTTCTAAAAATATTAATCAAGTACTTGAAAAATGTTAAACAGGCCCACAGCTTGGCGACCGCGTTCGGCATGCTGACGTTGGCCCATGGGCGCTTCCATAGTACATTTCTTTGCCAACACGATGCTTTATCAACATAGAAGGGCGCATAAAAAAATTCAACATAGGGTGCCGAGGGGCAACCTGCTCACGAGGGTATTGGAGTTGCTCGTCGCCATCTTCCGGAATAGAAACACTGAGTTCACACATGACGACCGGGGCTTCTACAAGATTGCAGAACTAGGTCTATCATTTGTGGCAGAGCCAAGATCAAGGGTTTTGGTTACTGGAAGAGATACCGCGCGATTACCGCATTTCTCGATACCTGTCGAGAAAAGTAAATACCGGCAGAAAAAGTCAAACTATTTGAAATGTTATAATTTGAAGGACGCATGAATAATTAAGTCTGATCGTAAATATCACCCTCCTAGGCATGCAACTCAAAGTCCCGTGTTCGACTCCCAACGGTTGTACCCCCACCCATCGGTAAATTTGTGGTATGATATTTGTGGTTTAGTGTTCGGTTGAAAGGAGAGAGAGAATGACAAAACTCCCCTGAGTTTGTCTTTAAAATACCAAAATTAGGACGTCCAGACAGTTTCACGACCGAGATCCTCATTGGATTGCAAAAGCAAACATAAGTTATCCTAACACCACATGCGAGAGTTTGACGGGTCTCCGTTGAAGATGCCTTTATCTCCTACTCCCTCCGTCCCAAAATAAGTGTCTTGGGACGGAGGGAGTGTATTTGTTGAAAATCATAGCACTATATCACTAAGCTACTGATGCCAAAATGCAGATTGTGATTTTGTTATAATGCTCAATACCACACGACTCCTGTCGTGCCCACCACCTCTCCCGAACTGGATCGGCCATAGCGTAGGAAGATTCCAGCCCACGTACGTACACGTCGCCAGCCACCCTGCAGGCACACATGCTAGACTAGAACTAGACTAGATCCATGCAGCAGCTGAACTGTCGAAGAATATAGTACCATACCACCTTGCTCGCTCTCACGCACTCACACTAGTTCACTCTCGCAGCGGCTAGCCTCGCTCTCGCGCGCAGGATGCGGAGCGGTGTCGGCGCGCGCCTTCTGTCACAGGCGGTGGCCATCGCCATCGCCGTGGCCGTCGCCTGCTGCATGACCGCCGCGCCCTCGTCGGCGCAGGGGACGACGACGCCCGCGGACGCCCGCGGCGCGGTGCCGTCGTGCGCGTCGAAGCTCGTGACGTGCGCGGGCTACCTGAACATCACCGACACGCCGCCGGAGTCGTGCTGCGACCCGCTCAAGGAGGCGGCGGCCACGCAGGCGGCGTGCATGTGCGCCATCCTCATGAACAGGGCCGCGCTGCAGGCGTTCGGCGTGGCGCCGGAGCAGGGGGTGCTCCTCGCCAAGCGCTGCGGCGTCACCACCGACGCGTCCACCTGCGCCAAGTACAGCGCCGGCGCCGGTAAGTTCGCCCGCTTTCCGAGCTCTCGTCAATCATCATCATCATTATCATTGCCGACAGGGTCGATGGTTGGTTTAGCGCCTAGCGCGGCACGCACGTACGTCCAAGCTGATCTGAAACTTAATTATTTGTTTGTCAGAAACAGTAGTACTTGGATCAGATCAAGCTGGGTTGTTTCCTTACTCGAAAATTTGTCGTTTCATGCACCTGACCTGAGCCAGCCATTTGTCTCTCTTAAAAATCTTTACCATCAATCTGTACTTTGCAGTAGTACTACTGTAGTTAACAGCATGCAAAAAAGGTAATCTGCCGGTTGCAGAAGAGCTGAGGGTAGAGAAATGGGTGTCAAAGTTTGGATCTTCGTCAGACCAGAACCACAATCATCTTCCGCTGCAATTGTGCATACGCAAGATCTCTTCATTGATGATCTGATCTGATCTTATCTCAACTGATACGACCAATCATGCCATAATTAGGTTGATTTGTACAACGGCGTGCTGAGCAATGCTGATTTTAACTCTCTTTTGCAGATGCTGGCACTGCAGGTAGCACAGCTGCTTCTTCAGCATCCACGGGAACTGCTGCTTCTACAGGTAATTTGAGTTCAGACAACAATCTTAGTGCTGTCTAGGATGATCAGAAGTAGAGAAACTTACAAATTTCTAGTCTCGCTAGAATAACTTTAAAAATTACTGCCTTAAAACACCGGGAAAATGTACACATGAAACCAACATAATGATGGCAGAGATGTTCTTTCAATTGGTAGCCTGAACCTCTCTTCTGAAACCATCTCAAACTTAACTGACCTTTGTTCTGAAAGGAAACTTAACTGAATTTCTACTGCCAGTAACCCACCCTTCTGTTCTTCTGCAGTTGCCAAGCCAACGGCAAGTGGAGGAACCACGCATCCCCTGAGCTTGATCGCCGCATCTTCATTTGTAGGCTTCAGTTTCATCTGGTGGATGATCATGGCGTAGTAAGAGATACCAATGAGTATGAACTGTTATGTAAAAAAAAACTGTATCGTCTCAATAAACATAACTATCTGGTTGTCACTTCGTTCCGTAAATTTTACTGCATGTGCCTTTGTACATGGCCTACGCATCCCATTCTGTATGCCTATCTAGGTTACAATTGTCATTAAATGAGAACGAAGGGTAGATTGTTTAGAAGGGAGAGACGGAACAATGAAGAACATAACAGAGCATGTCTACTTCGAAAACACATCATAATTGCAAACACATAACTAGCGCAAATCACCAAGTAGAAGTCTAGGGCCAAAAACCAATGAGAGAAAAGACCTTCTATTCACTTCAAAAGAGACATGTTTTATTTGATACAATAATTTCAACAGGTCACAAATTAGCGGCAAAGGGTGAACCTTTTCTCCACATTCCGATTAATCATCAGCCATCACTCCCTACTTCGGCTTTTATGTTCACGGTGGTGATGTTTGGACCTCTTGTTGTCCTTCTTTCTCTCTCGGTTGCTGCTATTGTTCTTTTCTTGTTTTATGTGCTTGTGCTTCGAGGTGGATGGCTCCTCGTCTGAGGATTTAGATCTCAAAAATAGTGGCTTCTCTGGACCATAAACTCGGCGCTTCCGGTCTTCTTTCACTCCTGCGTCCGGACTTGCTGAATTGTCTTGCCTACCGCATGGAGGCTTGAGGTATGGACCGGGCTCATCCATTCTAGAACCAATGGCTCCTCGTCCGCGCTTCACCCTAACAAAAAAATTGTGTGTTTAGTGAAAATTGGAGCAGATAGATGGCCTATGCATATGCAGACACAAATGTATAGGCTAACCACATTTCTTAGTACAATGAGAACATTGTAAGACTATGATCATGGAAAGTACAAATAATATCAGAAAGATCAGATCTTCAATTAATATCGGATTTTCTCTCACTATTTAATTTCTCCTGTGTTGTTTACGGATACTGTAACTGACCTTGATCGAAGAAACTCTTCGATTTCATCATCGCCTAGCCCATCCTCCCGGCCCGAATAAGAACTGCTATGTGAATCCCTCGACGAAGATGATGCACCAGCACCATATGGTCTGTCTCGCTGGATCTTAGAGACAGGGCTCTGGTCTCTTGAGTCGTTCTTCCGTTTCAGGGATCTCGAGTCAATTCGACCACTGGTTCTGGCTTTCATCTTTGATTCGAGCTCCATTTCCTTCTCCCTGGCACGCCACATCTCATTAACCTCCACAACTCGATTTGCTGCAGACAAACAGAGAAATTTTATTTCGACGAGAAAGTTCCAAACTGGATTTCTAACGGCAATTCTCAACAAAGTAGTATCTTGTTTCAAATGAAAGTTTTTGGATATGAGCACTAGCAATTTTTTTTACTAAGACATGTCATTTGCAATATAACTGCTTTTAGTTAGTAAATCATATTAGCTGGGCACTGAGAATAACCAACAGATACCAATGAATCATATTAACATCGAACAAAAGCAAGGAGAAGCCAACCGACCTTGCTGAACGCCAAGAACGGTGGCGGCAAGGAACCGCGAGTTGGGGCGGTGCCTCACGTTAGGTTTCTGCAGATAGGCGTGCACCCCTTCCTTCTCCGCCTGCATCCGCAGCCTCCGGGCCTCCTCGAGGAGCAACGCCGCAAGGCGATTCTCCGTCCCCAAATCCATCGTCCAGCCGCGAAGGCAAGCCCTGTCTGGAGAGGAGAGGAGAGCCTCGGTGCCCGTGCGGGCCTCGGCGACAGCGGCCGTGCACGCGTCGCCCGGCGGCGACGGACGGCGAGAAGCCCAGCCGCCGGGAGGATTTTGGACGCGTCTAGAAATTCCGGTGGCGATTGGGGACAAGAGACCTCGATTGCTTCCTTCTGTTTTGTGATCGATTCCACCTATTCTTGCTGGGCTTCCGCTTCCGTATCCGGCTCGTGCTGGGTTGCTGTTTTCTTGTATGGGCCTCCACTAGCCCATGTAACCGAGCCCACGCCTAGCAGCATTCCCTAAGCCCGAGCGCCATGCTTCCGTTCCGGCAACGCAACCCACCGGAGGAATTCTCATCTGGAGGAGAAAGAAACTCGTCCGCCCCCAAATCGACGACGGGCACCAGATGCGGCCGCCGTCGCCGCCGCGGCCGCTGGCCTTCCCAACGCTGGACTCGCTCGCGGCGTACCTCCGGCCGCGCCTCCCGGGCCCGGCGCTCGCCTCCTGGGGATCCGCGCCGGGGACCAAGAACCTGCTCAACCTCTTCCTGGAGCTCTCCTGCGGCGACTGCACGCTGCTGCCCGCGGCCTCCTCCCCGCCGGCCCTCGTCGTGCGCGCCGTCCACGTCGCCACCGTGCGCATCCGCAACCGCCGGGGCGCGCTCCTCGTGGAGACCCGCCAGCTGCTCTCCGATGGCACGCTCCGCCGCCGGACCGCGCGGCCGCTCTCCGAGAAGATGCGCCCCGGGGAGACGCCGGAGGCCGCCGCGGCCCGCGCCGTCGTCGAGGAGCTCGGCGAGCGCGCCCGCGTCCGGATCCTGGGGGCGGCCCCGGAGCCGCGCGTGGAGGAGCGGGAGTCCGTCTCGTACCCGGGGCTCCCCGCCAGGTACGTGCTGCACGCGGTGGACGCGGAGCTCGTGGAGGGCGTCCCGGAGGAGGGCGAGTTCGACACGGAGGAGGCCGGCGAGGGCGAGGGCCACGACGGCGGCGGCGCGGCCATCACCGTGAAGCGGCACTACTGGTCATGGGTCGACGACGAGGAGGCCCGCGGCGAGGCCGCCCCGGCCGCCGTCGCCGGTGCGCAGTAGGAACTAATATGTGCTGTTATCATGTTGTGTTTGGTTAATTTATTTTTATCACTTCATCGGCTTGCGATATCATGTAATACTCCAGTATGTTTCTTGCGCTCTGCTCTGCAGTGTTCATAGTACCACGGATCTCTTTGCAACCCCACAGTTAGTCACTCTCTGTCTCTGCACCGCAGGGATGTCGAAGTGTTTCTTCCGCACTCAGGTCTGTTTGTTTGAGCTTCGAGACCAGATTCAGCTTTGCCAGTGAACCTGAATCTGAAAGTTGAAACAAACAGTTGTATATCAAATCAGCATTACCAGTGAAGCTGAATTTGTTAGCATCCAGGCCATTTCCAATACAATTGTCTAACACATCTCAAAGTGTACTTCAAGCGAGTCCACAAATAATAAACCAATCAAAGCTGAAACAAACATGACTCGCTCTGCCTACTCCTACATAACGGAAGAATCTGCAACTGCTTAGGCCATCTCTAACGGCGACCCTCAAACCGCCCGCATATGTCTGCATCGAGCTGTCCGGACCGTGGAAGACATCCAACGCGGTCCTGTATCAGTTCGTGGCGCGGTCCGGACCATGATTTTTCCGCAAATCAGAACCAAATGGGGGGAGGGGGTGCGGGAGTTCGGAGTTCGGACACGCTAAACGTCGCGCTCTAATCCCCTGGCCCACCCAAAAGGAAAGCGGAGCCCGCGCTTTTTGTACCAACCTGCACTGTTTCCGCGCCAAAACCTCCACTCTCGTCTTCCATCCCCCGCCGCTCTTCACCTAATTCCCGTCCTTTTTTCCCACCCTTTTCTTCCTTCCGCCGCCGACGCATGGAACCAGGCTGTTGGAGATGGAGGTGACTGCGGTGCCGGATGATCCGAGTATCACGCTCACCTGGAAGATCAGCTCGGCTACGTGGCAAACTCGTCATGTGAAAGCGAAGGCCGCAAAGGAGGAGAATCTCAAGAAGCGAATGGTCGCCAGTGGGTGTGGTGGTGGCGGTGGAGGTGGTGCTCGTGCCGGAGGGTGCGGTACCCAGACGGGCGCGCCCACAGTATAGACGGCGCCGGGGCCGGGGCCTTTCAAGCCTCTGTACTTCTACGCCGCCAAGCAGCTCAGAACCCCCGCCGGGAAGGTGCCTTACATCATCGACGTAAACGCGTCGCCGCTCTTCTCCGAGTATTCTTCGTCGTAGCTCGTCCGGGCGTGGACGACATGTGGAGAGCAAATGGGTGCATGCACGCTGTTCGCGCCAATGCCTAGAGCAGGGGATCCGGCGTACGAGGACCCCCGACAGGGAGATGCTCGACATCATCCATGACGGAGGCGAAGGAGGAGGATGTGGCTATGAGGACGGGCGGGTGGAAGACTCTGATCTGACCCAGTCCGGCAACTACCAGCAGCAACAGTTTCCTACAGCCAGACGGGCACACAATAGTCCTACACCTGGACCGGTGTGGGCACACAACAAGAGTAGCACAAGGCTGTCGAACAGCAACACCATGAGGGGAAGGATGGCGAGGACGATGATCCGAATGATAGAGCCGGCGATCCAAAGAAGAAGGGTAGATGAGAAAGCTTCAACATGCGGGAGGACGAGCCGTTGTGCTATCCATGGTTGGCCACTAGCCTCGATCTGATCCATGGCATGTAGCAAAAGGGCACAACATTTTGGAACAACATTTACATTTGGTTACACGAACACAAGCAATTTGCCCCGTACTTCGACGCGGTCATCCACAACCGTGAATCAAAGTCCGTCAACAATCGATGGTACTCCATCCAAGAGGCCATGTCCAAGTATTGCGGGCACTTGAAGCATCTCGTCGCACGGTGGCCTAGCGGTGCACAAATCACCAATCAAGTAAGTTGATCACTAGCCGAACATGCTTATTTTTTTGCTCACTAGCCGATCATGCTTAGTTTGTTGCTCACTAGCCAGGCATGCTTAGTTTTGTTGTTCACTAGCCGGACATGCTTAGTTTTGTTGCTCACTAGCCGGACATGCTTAGTTTTGTTCCTCGCTAGCCGGATATGCATTGTTGACATTGTTTCACTTTGTAGCCTTCTCGTGCTTGTTTGATGTACAAGAAGTGGGAGAAGAAAAACTTCACCGTCATATATTGTTGTTTGAAATTGAATGGGCAACCCAAGTGAAACCTTTTCATAGCCAAAACTGTCGCCCAAGCCACCGAGGAAGAAACCGGTAACACTACTGACCCACCCCAAGAACCGCCGAAGAAGGTGAGAACTTTTTTATAGGGGAAGAAGTGGGAGGAGGAGAGGGCGAAGCGAGAAGGTGCGGCGGCCATGCTGGCGGAGAGGTTCGAGGACATCTTGTCAAAGAAGGAGGAGGCATGTGTGAAGTGCTCGGACCTCAAGGAGGAGAAAAGCGCGGAGAGGTTCACATTGTTGATGGAGGCGATGGACAAGAAGCTCAAGCTTGAAGAGAGAAGGACCATGATCGAAGAGAGGAAGACTGCGCTGGAGGAAAAGAAGTTGAAGATCACCGCCAATGCGGATGACGCCAAGGTGTTGACCTTGAATCTGGACTCTTTGGATGTCGATGCAAGAATGATCTGTGCAATCCGTCCGCTATGAGATGTTGAAGGGGCAGAAAAATCAGTTGGTAGCGGCAGCCGATGAGGACGAGGCGAAGGCGGACGCGGAGGCAGACACGGAGGTTGCCTACGCGGCGGCAACGACACCTTGATATGGGAGCAGACCGTTGGGTGTCGGTCCGGCAGGGCAGAAAATTGCAGGGACTGCCGGACCGATATTTTTTTGGATTCGGCCATGTAAAAACTAATCATACTTGTCTCTTTTTGACTGTAATCGGGCATGTGATCTGGCGTTGATGTAATCCGGCGTGCTGGGTGGATCAGCCTGAATTTGCATTGGATGACCGCCTCCCAACCGATCCACCACGGACGCGGGAGCAAATTTGTTGATGCCCTTATGTTGCAGCTACTGAATTTCTGTGAACATTCTGTCGGCGAGGGACTGCCAAATCGATTTAAAAATAGGGCCTGGTGTCCTCGTGGCCCTCGTGCCTTCGTCCACCAACATTCTGACGTTGGGAAACGGGAGCCACAAGGCGGCCATTTCCATCTCTCCAGTCAAGCACGTTAAGCCTTCTTATTTCTATGCGTTGTTGGCGTTCAAAACACTCTGCCCTCTCCATTTGGACATCCGGGATAGGAGGTGAATCGTTCTAGTCAACCAATCACAGCTATCTGAATTGGCACGACGAACGACGCATTAGATAAACCGCCGCTAGTTGCTCCAGATAGCGTGTTTCTTCTGAAAAGAAAAAGTTGATGTAGCGCGAGGAGCTTGTGGCTGTGAATATACGGCAATATGTATTGTATATCATTATTGGTGCGTGGATGGGACGGACAAGCAGCTAGTTTGTTGTCATGCGTTGCGTTTCCATTTCCTTTACCACGCGCGTACAATTTTAATATAGTAGTGTGATTTGTATGTAGTTTGGAGTGAACGTAGTGTTATCACCTGCAATAATAATTCATATGTTTGTCCATCTCTTTCTGACGGATCGGCCAACGGGAACTTTTTTTAAGAGTCTAAGAGGAACTACAGCTACACATAGAAAATCCAGGCCTCCCGGACGGACGCGTCCGCGGGCATTGATTGAACACACCACATATTTTCGCTTTCATACCGGCATTCCTCATATTCAAAACCTCAAAGCCATGCAACGCTACGTAAAACACATGATCAACACTCGATGATGAGTCGAAGCGTCTTGGCATTCTTGCGGTGAAGGCGCCGCACATGCGTCTCAGTCGTTGTGAGAGAGCGGCGGAGGAACGGCGCGAGGAGCGCGGCCTTCGGATCGACCAGCGCGCTCGCGCGTGACTGGCGCGCGGACAACGCTTC